TAATATATATTATAATATACTATATTATTTCTGAAGTCTGTTTTCAGATAATCGTGCTGATTTGTTCCAGAAGTGATACGGGCCAATCAATACACGAAATGGCACAGACTATAAACTGCTGTCTCTTCTTGTTGTGACTTGATCAGGCCAACGTCTTTTTTATAGTAGTGGTTCGCTTCATGCCCCGTGGTGTACAAGCTTGTGAGGAAGGAGGGACTTGTTTTAGAATTTTAATCTTCCTGTAAAGCAGGTAAATAGATCGACCTGAGAATTCTTAACGTTAGCAGCATGCTTTTTCAAGCCCATTTAACCCTATAGTTTGTCTCAGGAAGACTCCGGTTAATATATCAAATAAGTATTTTCCTAACTGTTTTGCCATAAATCCTGAAAAATTATTTTAAAATAATTTAAACCAAGAGTAACTACAAACATTTACAATAGAGGTATTTTATGTAGAGGGAGGTCACAGTATAGAGAGGAAGAAAGGCCCACTATTTTTAAGGAAAGGGTCTGCTTTGATCTTTTCCTCCTGGAATTTCAGTGGGCCTCACAGAAGGGAAGTTACCCCTCTTAATACTTGAGCAGCTGTCCTTTCAAGGCCCCAGAATCCTGACTGAATGCTGTGCTGACAAATATTTAACCTGTGTTAACCTGCCCTTTAGTGCTTCAGATGCTAATTAGAATCAGGTACAAGAACTGGCGTTTTCCAAAATGGTGTTAAATTTAATTTTCTTAACTCTGTTCTACTTAATGATTAAACTGCTTCCTATGCTATTAGCCATCTCATTTATGCTTTGGAGGCTAAGCAGAGCATGACATTAGTTCTGTTTTGTTTACTGAGGTTGTAGGACAGAAGTTAATAAACTTAAGTTAATTCATTGCTCTTGCAATCCAGTGTTTCTCTTCAGAAGATGAAGAAAAACAACCACCTGCCTATTTCAACGGTAGGACTGCAGGTGAAATTAGTTCAAGACACACAGGTCCTTTTCCATTTTCATGTGGAATAAATTCTTCTTTTCCAAGAGAAATTATTTATTATAATATGTAGAAATGCATGACTCTTATTGAGGGCTCCGTGTGTTTTAGTGTAAATTTAGCTGCAATTCTAATTAATCCAGTGAATTCAGACAGCTCCCACTGTCCCTTTCTGTGCCCTAAAATGTACTTTAAATGTCATTATACCGTTTAAACACCTTTGCCTGCTGACAAATCCAGATAAGGGAAAAAACCCTTTAAACCATACTGTGATGCAATTTTTTGCTCTGTGTTTATAATGTCCTAGCTTTCCATCATGTTAATTACTTGTGGTATCATAACCTGTGTTGCAAATGCCTGATGAACGGAATGTACTTCTCATAGAAGGCAAAGACATTTTCAACGTATCTTTATGCCCTTCCCACATAATAACATAAACCAAATTAAAATAGCAAGTTATGATAATACAACCGTATTTAATTTCTGAGATTAAAATAAAATATTAAAAACTGCGTTGTAGGGAATCCTAGTGCAGTATTTGAAATAATCATGAAAGTACATTGCCTGTGAGTGTGGAGCAGGCCTTGCTGCCCTTACTGATTCTGTGAGCAGTTTCCTTGAAGCTCCTAGGACAGCTCCCAGAATATTTTGAGCGAACGTGCCAAAGCGCTGGTGTGGGGCACTAGAAGCCTGAAGAGCAGCACCTGCTGAGAGTAACACACGTAGGTGTGTTTAATGCATTTCAAGTATTTTGTTAATGGATTTCTATGACCAACTGCAGAGAGGTATCATTTTTTCTGTTACAAAGTTCAGTTTGATTTTTATTCAGCTGGTATGACAGGATTTTTTTCACTCTATGACCATTGTTAAAATTCACGATTTTAATAGATATCTGCCAGCTTTTCCTTTCAAGTCTGTGCGGTTGCAGTCAAAGGTACTAAGAAGGATTAAACAGTAAAGTGTTTATCTCTGCTTTCATCTGCCTCAAGAGTACAGGGGGGAAAAAAAAAGAAATTATAATAAATTAAAGGAAATGGTAGTAAATTACAAAAATTTCTTCACAAAAATGAGTACAGCACACTGGAAATTATTTTTCTTTCTTTTCCTTTTCAGATGACATGTTCGACCTCCCATTCCCAGATGACATGGACAATGACATTAGAATTTTAATAACAGGGAATCTTCACTCTTCACCAAATTCCTCCCCGGTTCCTTCCCCTGGATCACCATCTGGCATTGGAGTGGGATCTCACTTCCAGCACAGTAGGGTAAGGCTTGTAGCACTTTAGGGTATACGCTACTTAAACCACAAAACGACCCAAATCCTCCAACAAAATCTTTTTTTCCTCTAGATTCTCAAACATAATTAGGTCAACAGCAAGCAGAAGTTAATGTTAAAATTGAAGGTGCTGGTTAAATACTGTTGAAGAAGATGTCTCTGCCTTGACTGCTTACATCTCTAAAGTTAATTGTTAGTGTATGAGATAATTGAGAGGAAGAGAGAAGGAGGAGAGAGCAGCTTTATTTTTGTGTGGCAGAGCCATATCTAATGACCCTGTATAAATTTAATCTGTACTCATCCATTTTTTTCTGGAAAATCATATGGAATGTCCCTGGCACAAAGTGACAAGTCTTCGTGAGAAAGGAAGATACGACAGTTCTGTTCACATGAATTTCTAGGGGAGGCAAGAAGGGAGATAATTCTCCGAATAATAAAACCCTACCCACAGAAACTCCGCAGGTGCTGGATGTTTATGCAAATGTTGTTTTCTTAGTAAAAATTAGCCCAGAGCATATAATGTTTGTAAGTTATTTTTGTTTGAAGTGGCTTTTATAAAGTTGGTTGCAAGACCAGTGATTACTTAAAATGCAAATTTTATCTTTGGTAATTCAAGGAATTTTTTTGAATCGGCTTTAGCATAATTTGGATCATGTTTGATGGAACTCTTTTACTCATACATTTAATCATGTAAGAGACTTAGCTGTACTCTTAATGTGGTTTCCATCACAAGTATGTAGATGTTTGATGCTTCATAATTTCCTGTGGAGAAGTTTTACTCTAGAAATAGTATACTTAAAGCAGATGCATGTGACTCCTTTACTAAATAATACCGTATTTTATCAAAGAAACAGGCTCACTTTTATACAAGAAACAGATAAGCCCCATGCATTGAAAAGTTCTGGTTTAGCGATCTGTAATAATTTCAGTAACGGGATCTGGATCTGTGACTATCACTGGTGGCTTTAAACAGTCTCAAGAGAAACTATAAATCTGGTATGAGAGGAAGTACAGAATAGATACTTAGAGGTATATGTACAGCTAAGATACTTGCCCGTGAATGACGCTACTCACTCGGCCTCTGTAACAAAGCACTGCATTTTTCTAAATGTAAATAAGATAGCTTAAGAAGAGAATTCTTACTCCCTGAAAATGACTAACTGAATGCTGTTCATTTTGCCACCTGGAAGGAAAAAGTCCTGCCTGTATTTTCCTTGCAACCTCTGCCAAAATGTTTCAATGGTCAGCTTAATACAGTCTGTGAGTGAAAAATCACTTCTGCATCAGCCACAAAAATGCTAATACTATGTTCTGTGATCTCAGTATACAGCCACCTTACCTTATTTTAATACTCCAACCCACTTTTCAAAGGCTAAATAACTGCACATTACTGTCACTTGGGTTATTTCAAACTGTTATGTGGGCAAATTAAAAGTTTTACATTCTGTTACTAAACCCTCCAGCCATAAATCACAACTCATCACTCATTACAATTTCTCTCTCTTATTTAGTTCATTCAACAACCTCTCTTCTGTACCACTTTTAGAAATGCATTTACAAAACTTACTCTCAGTGGAACTCCATCCACGTGGCTTAAGAACAGCACTGAAAGGTTAATGAGCAAAGAGCTTAGAGACCTGGACAAGCCATTTCTAGATGAACCTGTCATAGTAATTCAGTTTAACCATTAACAGGGGCCTAGTAATTGATGTGTAATTTTTGGTTTAAAAAAGCAACAGCGTGTGATCATTACCTTGTGGGTCGGGGAAGGTCAAGCCTTCGTCCATGTAACCCATAATTGATTGCTGCAGTTTAGCAGTGGAAGTCCTGATTGCTCAGCAGCCAGTTTCAAGGTTTTCTGTTAGGCTGCTGAGTGCCCACGGCCAGGTGAGGTGCAGCCTTCTCCAAGCTTTATGGAGTGTTTAACTAACTTTGATTCCCGATCAAGATATTACTGTTGGAGAAAGACCTGCTTGAAGGACTAGCAGTGAAGGCTTGGTGATTAAGTCGGTTTCTGTGCAGTGGAATCTTTTTTTTTTTTCCTTCTTTTTTTCTTTTATTTAACCTATTGACTTAGAAGATGTTTATGGATTAAATGAACTGCTATCCCAGTTCTTCTGGGATACGTTACAAGCAAAAATTCTTTACATATTTTGGATTTTTCCTCTATGAAATAAAAGTAAAAGCAAAATAATAAAGGGTGTTTCCAAGAAAACTAAATGCATTTAAAATAGGCATGTACTCTAGAATGGAATGGCAGTCACCCTGTCTGATACCTAAGGAGCCCCATTGCAGGTTTATTATGTGGTTCATCATAGATCAGGATTATGTGTATATACACATACACAGGATGAGGTAAGCAAGCTCACACCAACCTTTCCTATCCCATAGCCTCGGGTATGGAAGGTTCATCTAGGTTTTATTCTACAGAAATAAAATCACAAATATATACGCTGACAGGCAGCGACTCAAAGTCTGATGAAGTTAGTTTTACAGCCAATTTTTCGTTGTTTAACTCTCTCCTCTCCAAATAACTCCATATATAAGAATATGAGTAACTAATACTGAAAAAATACAGTATATAAATAAATGAGTAAGTGATATAAATTGAAGAGCAGGACAGCTGTTTCCTTTCCCCACACTTCCCCTGCTTGGTAATACAAATACAAACAAGGCGTATTATGTTCTGTCCAAGTGTCCGTAGCAAGGAATAGCAAGTGTAGCATTTTTCTTCTAAGCTATCAGTGTAACTAACTGAAAAAGCAAACACAACCAAACTTAGAAAGATGCAGCTACTCTCTGTTCTTCCATATTTGAGCGTGTAACGTTCCACTAGCTGAAGTTGGGAAGATCTGCAGTGCAAACTGCTGGTTTGATATGTATAGGAAAAGCCTATGAGGCTTTATAAACTTAAATTCAACACTGATCTACTCCCTGCACGCACACAGGAAAGCTGTTCAGATTCACAGCCAGAGCCCAGTGCCTCTGAGTTACTCTCTGCCATCAAATTCCACATGTACTGGGTTCAGTTCAGGAGGTTAACATTGCTGTTTGGGAATCTAAAGTGATTCTGGAACATAAGCCTGGAGAACCCAATGAGAGGGCAAAAAGGAAGGGATTGGACAACTTTGACTAAGATTCATGAATGACTGAAGGATAGCCCATTAATAACAAGACAGATTAAATACTGAGTAATTAGTAAACAAAATCAGTGTTCCTGGAGTGGGATGTAATGACATAAAATAACACACCTGCCTTTTCAACTCTTCTTTCAGAGCCAAGGGGAACGTCTCCTTTCCAGAGAAGCCCCTGAAGAACTGAAGCAGCAACCTCTTGCTCTTGGATACTTCGTGTCAACTGCCAAAGCTGAGAATCTTCCGCAGTGGTTCTGGTCATCCTGTCCTCAGGCACAAAACCAGTGTCCCCTCTTCCTGAAGGTTTGTCTTGATATGCTTTCACAGGGGAAAGAGAAGAAGAATTCTCTTTATCCTATGAATTTGCTTTGAAAATGGTGGCTTTGCATGTTACCAGAACTGTGACAGTACTGGAAACGGAAATGCAACTTCAGGTTTAAATTTACTCAAGATAGCTGGCTATTAAAACTTAACTCTCTGTTGCTAAAGCCCTTACCTGAAAATGGAATAGTTTGGCAGCTTTTACATACAGATTCATTAAAGCTGTATCCGGTATTACAGAAGTGTCCCAGTTTTCATTGTCAGCCTAAGACAGGAAGGACATGCCTTCTATTCTGCCATAATCAGGTTATGACACATAGATTAAAAGTTAGAGAGTAGCACCTCCAG